AACCGAACACGAACAACACGAATAAAGATTTGTGTGTTCGTGTTCGGCTCGTTTTGGCTCAAAATACTACTCATCAATTATATATATATATATATATGAATAAGAAAAACAGAAGATAAAAATAAGGTATATTTTTACTCATCATTTGTATTCTAGAGAATAATAATCCCTCTTAAACACCATAAAATTTAAAACCCATCACTTATTCTAGCCTACCAAGTAAAGTCATCCAAATACTAGATGCTTAACCAAGCAGCGCTCGAGAAAGAATAAATAACAGCATAAATGAACACATTATAAAAGCTATAACATTCTATCATCATCAATGTTGCTGCTTGTAGAATCTTATTAACTATAATACCAAGATTCACTGTAATTCATTGCATTCTTTCATCAATTATTTCTCTCACTCATGAAAATGTTTTACAAACAATGAAAAGAGAGAGTGAGAGCATTCACAAAAGCCCCATGTGCTATCCATGCTCTCGGACAATCAAGTTGAGCAAAAGAAAAAAAAAAGCTATGCCAAAATACAAAATCACAAATAAAATATTAGTAGGTTTACTTCACATTCTCCGCTTACTAATTATGCTTGAATAGATAATTGCCCAATCAAATATTATTGATAGATATATAATGCCAAATTATTTCTAGAATCCAAAACCAAGAACAAAAATAATCTCTCCCCTAAGATGATCATTCCCTCAAGAAACAATTAAACATATAAACCAATATAAAAATATCAGAAAAAGTACCTGAACGAGTGTAAACTGAGATCATAAATCTGGAAGAAGATAAAATACTTCGTTGATCTAACCAAAACACATCACAATGCCCGAATTCTTCACTCATAGTAGAGAATAAAACTCAAAATAAAGCTCCATCACAACGGAGAAGAATACAAATAGAGAGGGAGAGATAAAATAGCTTTTGGGATAATCTTCTCTACTTATTTAACCAAAATGAATCTCACTCACAACATAGAAGTGAGATGACAGAGAGAAGAGAGACGACTCATGGGCTTAGTAGAGAAGAATAGAGGGAATGGTTGGGATAGAGGCTCTGAGTAGGGTTATGTCTCAAAAGTTATTTCATTACGCCGCATTAGAGTTTACTCCCTCGACATAACTTTAAGTTCATTGTAAATCCCAACAAAATTCACATAATTGAATCGAATTTAAGATTGTATGTTGTCCGCCGCCCATCGAGTGAGAACCGAGGTCCTAGGACTTCTCTATGAGAAAAAAATAGTTTTTATTTTATTTTATAATTTCATTTTAAAAATATTTAATGCTTAAATTGATATAAATTTATTAATTTATTTTAAAATTAATTTAATAAACATGAAAATAAAATTTTATATTCCAAATATATTTTTTGAGAAATTTAACAGTTTAGTTTTAATTTTTAATTATTATAAATGATCTATATCATTTATTTCGTAATTATATATATATATATTTTAATTACACACACACACACACACACACACACACACACATATATATATATATATATATATATATTACTTATTATATATTTTTTTCTTTTTATGTTAAATTAATATTAAATAAAAATGAATCAAAAAATTTTAATAAATCATATGTTTAACGATTAATTTTAATATGATTATCATTTAAGCTTTATAAAATTTATACATAGAAAATAATTAAATAAAATAATCAAACTAAATAAGAAAAAATTAAGATTAATATAATAATTTTATTTGATTAATTATTATGTATTAATTTAATCAAATTTATTATAAATGGTCTTTAATTCGAGTTTTACTCGAACTTTTTCAGGAGTATAAAATAACTTATGAACAATTATTCGATCTTTAATCGAGCTTTTTGACGGCATTATTCAAACTTCAACTGAGTATGTTCGCAAGCTTTTAATAGATTTGTTCGTGAACATAAATTAGTCGAACAAGGGCCTTTTAAACCTTGTTCATTTGACTACTGAATATTCATAGAAGTGTTCAAGCTTGTTTGATAACTCAATCAAACAAATGTAAATGAACTCTTATCGAGTCGAGCTATGAGTAGCTTGTCAAATGCTCGGTTCGTTTGCAGCCCTAGTACTTAGTTTATTTGTGCTTTTGAGTTGACTTTTTCATCATCCACTCCTATATTCGTCTCTCTGGCCGGTTCATACTAGAAGGCGAGCTGAGGGTCACTTTGTCTTCACTGGTCAAAGCATACACTTTTTTTTGTACATTAATTGCACACATTTACGTAAATTCTCACATAATATTTTCGATGAATTTCTACATATTTCAATTTTATTTTTTGTCCAACACTTTTAATGATAATTTAATAGTTTAGAGAGAATTTTTGGGTACAAGTTCTTTATTCCTTTTATAATGTTCGCCTACACCATAATCATCATATTTATCTTTTTCTAAATTTATCATGCAGTTGGTCTTCATAATGGTTAAAATTGTGTAATATGAGACTTGCTTCAAAACTCTTTAGAAGAAATTGTAATGAGGCTCATTGGTTACTAGCAAACTTACGCCTCACATAATATAAGACCAATCTCAAGGTGCATCTCACCACTTTTCTGGTGAGGGAGTACTCAATTTTGTCTAGTATTTTTCCTAAATAAATATAAATAAAAAATTGTAATAATTATTCCTTACCCATATCATACATAACTGTGGATGTAATTAAAATTATTATTGTCAATATTGTTATTATTTTGAAATCTAATAAATATTTTTACCAATTATATTTATTAATTAAAAGAAAAATGGTTGGGATTTAAAACGAGGAATAATGAAAGAACATGGATACAATATGTTGTGAAGGATAAAATATATTCTTATGATGATGAGTGTAATGAAGTCTTTTTAAGTGATAGGAATGATGGAGCTTTTTGAATTTTGAAATTCTAACCTTGTGGCTTATTATAATCTTTGATGAATAATGGTTGGAACGTGAGGGAAATTAACTATATCAGCTTACTTTGAATTTTTATGTTATTATGTCTTTCTTTGAAGTTTGTATAGCCTTCCTTATTTTACGACTTGGTGTTCTGATTTTAACATATTACCTTTTACTTTGAACAATTTACTACTTTTATCAAATTATAATATTAATATATTATTTTTTACTGCATATTTTGAACTTAATACAATACTTTCTACTCTGTACTGTTTGTTGATTTTGAGTGCTATGCTTCAAAACACCTCGAGTCTTGCACCTTGCCACATTCTAATTTTTAGGTTTTATGTTGACTCATTTAAATTTAATAGAAATAGTTTGCTTATAACATTTGAATAAAAACTTTCAAGTTATCAATCCCATTTAAACTTCTTTAATATTTAGCTCCCATTGAATGCTATAATAATTTTAATCTCATGATAGTCATGTTTTAATTGTAATTGTTTAGCATCATTGTTTAGCTGATTTCATTTAAATTGTATCATGCTATTACTCTTTTGGTTTGACTCAACTATTATGTTTTATTTATGTTTGACATAATGATGCAACTGTAACTCCAATATTTATTTTGATATAAATCTTGACTTTCTATCACAACCATCTGATTCAACACAAATTGTGTACATGACATCAATGGTTGTAGTTCACATATCATCCATTTAAACAAACATTCATCTACAACAACAACAAGCTTTCTCTCACTAATTGTGGTTAAATAAATATTCATCTCTTCCATAAAAAAATATTTTGAAATGATGTATAATGACGACCTTGTAATTTTGCATAGAAATTCAGAATTAACGAATATCATATTCTGGTCATAAATCATACTGAAATTAGAAATCTTAATTTATGTGGGTTTAGATGAAATTCAATTACATATCTACAGATAAAATTATATTATAAGAATAAGACGTGAGATCACCAATTAAAATTCCAGGCTTTACCTTCGCTGAGATAATTTTCATTGGCGCTTTAGAAGGTTAGATTGGTGTCAAATCCAACCAAAATTTATTCAATTAAAACAGAATCATGTGGGATTATATTCTTACACGCCTCAGACAACTGTATTGATAAATCCTTCCTCAACTTATAAACTTAAAAAAAAAAGTTTTGGAAGGCTCATCTTGAAAGGATACGTGTCCCTGCAATCTCACAAGAGAGAACTCGTAGCCAGCCAGAAAATCTTTTAACAGCAGAGCCGCAGCCCACTGTGTCCCGCCACAGTACTCAATTCATGAGCCATGGGTTTAAGAGAGTTGTATGTCAATCAAGGTACATCATAGATCATGGACCGAGAACACAAACTCCAGCCCATGGGGTTCAAAAGATCACAAATTCATGCCTAAGAACTTGCTGCCACTCTTCCATACCATGTTTGTTTGTGGTTCTTTTTTTTTTTTTTACATGGTACGGTGAATTGGTTTTTAAAGTAAGGGTTTGTCAAGTTCATTTTTTTCTAGAGTGTCATGTTACTGTTTTTTTCACGCTCGTGTAAGTAGTAGTATGCTCGCATGATCTTGATATATATCATAGTTTCTATAACCTGCATTGTTCTTTTGTGCTGGACGCATGCAAAAAATTGGCTCCAAACATTACCTGCTTTACTGCCTAACTCATGGCTCGACTTTGCAACCTTTGTTTCAGAAAGAGATTGATTATGGTGGAGATGATGCAGCCATCTCCCCAAGATTGCACTTTCAGCACCAATTCCCTCAGACTACACCACACCTTACAAACTCTAGCATCCCGACTAGTACTGGATTCGTGGGGCAGCTTGCTCACGGAGTTCCTCTCCGTACATCTCATTCGGAACAGGTCAAGAACTCAGTTTTCTCAAACACATTTTCCAGTCCAGTTCGCAGAACCCTCCAGCCCTATCACCTTGCACAGGGAGAAGGGCCATGTGGCCTTTGGGGCACGAGGAGTAATGATGCGAATTCGTTAATTGATGGTCGGGAATGTGATTCTCCAAACCGCCCCAATGATTCTTCCATGGAACACTGAGGTTGGGAATCGGCTTTCGCTCAGTTAAAATGAGCAAAATCTCTTTTATTTCAGAGCCTCCACGGCACATTATCAAATCAGGTTTATTGGAGTGCTTGAAATAGGTTTGTGTTCATGAAATGCTTGAAATAGGCTCCTTGTATTATGTTTGTGTTCATGAAATGCTTGAAATAGGTTTCCTCTCTGTTTGCTTATAGGAACCAACACCCGAGGGAGTTGGCTTTATATACTATCTTATATTTGGTTTATTATTGGTGTTTATCAATGGTTGTCGCCTTGATATTACATTTTCGTACGCCGGAATGTATTTTATATGTACATAATTTATATATATTTTGCAACCATATATGTTAATAATCCTCAGCTGACTAATCATCTTGTGAGTTTTTAGGGTAGTTGAGTTCTTGTGATTTATTTTCAATATTTTCCAGTTGGAGTTACTCTGCATGCGGTGATGCGGATTTATCCAACCTATTAATACATAATAACTGAATAAGGTTTTGAGCTTGTTCACTAGCTTGAGCTTTTCTAGTAATGCTCTCTTTGAAATTTTCAATCGGAGGGCTGTAATTTTTTTAAATTTAATTTTATTTATTTTATTGATAGGGCTAAGGTCTTCTCATTAATGACGATAAAAGAGAAGTGATGGTAAATCTTGTTACAATATATAAAAAAAAACCTTCAACTGAATACATCTGGAGTCCTTGGGATTTTTAGAAAAGCTATTATCCTGGACTTTGTTATGTTTTTCTTGTTGCAGAGTTTGGATTCAGAGGCAGCTTAGTGGGTGTTGCTTTACCGTCTCAAGTTGTCTTTTCTTTGGAATAAATGCAATTGTTTTCTTTCGGAAAATAAGATTTCACGTTGGAAAAGGTTTTTAGAAATAATATTTAATGCTAGGGCTGTCAAAATTGCTCGTTGTTCATTCAGCTCGTTAAGAAGCTTGTGTCGGCTCGTTGGCTAAGTTAATGAGCCGAACACGAATAACACGAGAATATTTGTTTGTTTGTGTTCGGTTTGTTTTGACTCGAAATTTTGCGAATCAATTATATATATGTATATATATATATGATGACTATTATTTAAAAAAAATTAATTAACTACAAAGTTACAAAGATTTATAATAAATTGCCTGCTTATTTTGCTTTAGCAGAGAAATTGTACCACCCTTCTTTTATCATCAATGGTATCTCTAGAAAACATTTTTCTGGTAAACCGGCAGGATTTCAAAAGTACGCAGAATAGTACACAAGAAAAACTCAAGAAAGTCAACTTATAAACAGTTGAGCAAAAAATTAGCTTATAAATATTTTTACAAGATGGTTTTTGTATATTAAAAAAAAAATGAATGAGGTGTAATTGACTCTAATGCTTAAATTTTATTTCTTTAAGTTTTCTTAAAGTCACGAGATTAAAGTTGGGGTGTGAACATGTAATTAAACATGTAAATTATTGTGATAAAAAAAACAAGTTGACTCTTGCAAGGTCTTAGAATCTGCTTGTGATATATCATACTATACAAACTCATGTTATACTATAATTTAATGGAGGGATTATACTATGGTGCCAAGTGGAGATAAGGGGTCCAAAAGGAGACCATCCTAGTTTCAATTAAGCTCCAATAGGGAAAGCATTTGGAGAGTTGCTAGAGTTGGAGAATTTATGAAGAAAAGTTTTTTCTCTTCTTTCTTTACTTCTTCCATTAATTTTGGCTCTATTTGGCACAACGAATCACCTGCCTTTGCGTTTTTAAAAAGCCCCATTATCGTTTGTTTTCTCTATCTTAGATGCGTTTCGCAATATGCTGAAATTTTTTTTGTATTAAACGCCGGCCTCAAGTTTGACCGCGCGGCCCACATTCGAAAGAAATTTCTTTCCTCTCTGCCCTCCCGTTGGGCCTACCTTCATCCCGCGCCCTAAGTTTCCTTGTTCTATGCTTCTCCCCATAGACTTCTAACAGCTTCCAATCCCACACCAGTGGTAGTTTATGGAAGCATTCAAGACCACCGCTAGGTAATCTCCAGCGACGCTCTCGGGTTATAATCCCAGGCCAGTGATACTTTTCCAAAGCATTTTCGCTCACTGCAAGGTAATATTCTGACCCTTGTTCCGACCTAATGTTTCAAAGTTATAGATTTTGAAATGTCGCAACAGTTGTTGGTGCTTTATTTCCAATTGAAAGCTTTCCATCCCAATGTTTCAAGGAATATATTTTAAAATCCCGTAGCAGTTGCAGGTGCCTTGTTTTGAATTCAAAGATTTCCATTCCCATGTTTTAAGGGAAAATATTTTGAAATCACACAACAGTTTTGGGTGGCTTGTTTCCAACTCAAAGCTTCTAATCCCAGTGTTTCAAGGAAAAAAAGATTTTGCTATCCCGTAACAGTTGGAGGCAAATAAATTCTTGCAAATTTGTAGATTTGAAAACCATGAATTAACTATTCTACAATTCAAATACAAGAAGTACGTAAAGATGAGAAACTTTTAACCTTTCTATACTAATAAAAAATTATAATTTATTTTGAAAGACGAAATGATTCATTTGAAGAAAATCATTATTAAAATTGATTTTGAGGTGCATATCTTTTTTTGTACTGTTATGAAGTGATTTTTTTTTTCTAAACTATCAAATTTATAGCTATGATAGTTCTGTTGTAAACAACACTATTGCACAGGGGCAGAATTATCATTTATACAAAAACAACTGTAAATCAGCTGTTTTCAAAATGCACAAACCAAACAGACAAGTTACTCATCCGGATAAGCTCGATAAGCTGCAGCTGCCCCAAATAGACCTGTTACTCAAAGAAGGGCATCTTCCCTTCCTTCTAAGAAAATGAGATTGAGATTTTAATGAGGGTTTCTTCCTCTTATTCTCAATCTAAAGATTGAGTGAGAGCTAACTTCGTGCTCGTAGAAACCATGATGGAAAGAAGGCATTGAACCCTAAAATCACTAGCTTGTGCAAGAGTGCTTGGAGAGCTAGAAAACACTTCAACCCCACAGTGGTGAGACTCTTCTTACTTTTTTATCTTTAGATTCCATACAATAATACTATAGCTCAGAGACAGGCTGACTTTATGGGAAGACAGTAAGTTAGGAAGTCTTTTTCACACATTATTTTGATTTCATGGAAGATCCAAAAACCTAGGAACGTCTCTTATTTAACTAATGATTTGGACATCATGAATTGATACTAAAATCAAGTTTGTATGTTTGCTAGAGCTTTCCATTTTAATGATTTAGAGATGGTTTGATAAAGTTTGTACTTGTAGCATAAAATTTGGAGTTGTTCCTCTCGTTATAGATTTTTTTTTTATGAATTCCTTATAACCTTAAGATTGATCAAGTGAATGTTTAGAAGTACAATTGTCATACAATTTTTATTGTATGAATGGTTTATATTTCTATATCATCTCATATTTTACCTCGGTGAGATCGATTAAGTCGTACACTTTGGATTCTTGCAATAAATAAGGCTTATATCTATATTTTGTGTGCTTAAGTTGTGTGTTGAAATTATTGAGAAAATTAATGATGTTTAAGGCATGTGTTGTATATTTTTCATCTCATGTGATGGTTTTTTTTTTTCACTTAATAGCGAGATACATCATCTCCCTTGAGTTTTTTTCTTCTTCACATATATATCATTTTAAATTATTCATTATTTCAAAAAAAAAATATATCATGTTACTACGTATTCATTAGTTGAAGTGTAATTCTGTTATGAATTTCAATTAGAACATCTTTATAGATTCCATAGAATATGAGACTATCAAACTTTAGCTTTTCGTGGTATCTATATTTTCATGTAAATTTCTTATGCATAATCTTTATATTAAAGTGTTTGATATTTAGGCATCAATCATAGTATCATCCCAATGCATTTTGTTTAGTGCAATTAAATTTTTGAAGTGAAACTTCAAACAATCCTTTTTTTTTTTTTTATGAGGATGCCCACATAACTTTTGCCATGCTAATATTCATATATAGCTTTCTCAAGTCATGTTGAGAGAATACATGCATCATATGCTAACTTGTGATTGTATTTAATCAAGTAGGTATCATATCATGATATAACTTCAATACACACATCTTTTGTTTGCACCTTCTTTATGTTTGCATTCATTCAGCTTTATGCTATATATTAAAATAGTTTGATATTATTATGTTTTATGCATCATTCCATGATGTAATGAGTTGTTCTTTGCCTTGTTAAATATCTCGTATTATTTAATTTGAACCTTTTTTTACTGCTTGCTTAAAAAAATATTTGTATGATTGATTTATCATCCTCTCGAGTGTTTTTGAATCGCTTTTATTTATTATTATTGAACGACAATAATCCCGTTTGATTTGAGGTTAACCATTAGTTATAATGATTTACTGAGCTTTGTTCAATGGTATATCTTATTAACCAGTGCAAAATGTTGCATTATAATCAAAGGCTCATGTTATTTTGCTAAGTTTTTAAATAACTTAGACTATATCACTTTGATTAAATATTATATAAAAGATCATCCTTTGAAATAAAATTATGTTCTTTTTAAATATGCTTATAATTATATTTCAAAAAGAACAAATTTTCAAAGTAAATTTAATGACTTATTTAGACCATTAAAATCTTTTTTAAAATTTTTAAAAATATTTCTTACCATATAATTTGTTATTTATTTATATTTTAGATTATATTTTTAAAATAAAGCATATCAAAAGTGATAAATCCTAGCTCACTTAGATTTTTAGGATGGGGCCAATCGTGACATTACAAAGTCGTGTGAGTTAGTTCTTGGCTATACTAGCCGACACACACTTAGGTATTATGATAATACACACCTTTAGATATTTCTTTCTTAGGTTATGGTGTAGTTAGAGTTCTTATACACCTGGTTATTATTATTCATTTATTATTGTGTATAATCTTGTGTTTTATGAATACTTTCTTATGTACTTATTGAGTTTGTGATATACGCCCCAAGGTTGTATACATGTAGTCTTTTGTACTATGATAAACTCATCAGGGGAAAAGCCATTAAGCAAAGTTGATTATACCATCCTTTACAAGTGCTAGCTAAGTAATTTTCCCATCAATCTAACTCATTATCACATTTGCATATGCTTATGTATTTGTGTACTAGCCCCTCTATTTTGTAAGTTATGGAGTATGCAAATTTTAGACTTTCATAACTACATTCTTGTGTCCTAGGATTGAGCATGAACTAGAAATAAGATATGTGCACACATTCCTTAAAGGGGAGGATCATA